TGACTCAACACACACACACACACACACGCACAGTCCCAGCAGGTATACTGACACCAGTACAGTAGGAGCTGGCTTAAAGTATTTCACAGAGGAATATCCCCATGTGCATTTTTTCCCTGCAGGCTTTGAACAGTCCTGTTCGGTCGTGTGTGTGTGTGTGTGTGTGTGTGTGTGTGTGTGCATTTAAAGAGTATGTGCTGGCTAGCAGCACTCATCTTCAGATCCTCAGATTACTTTTTTCTCTATTTTTCTATCACATTAGCTTCTCCTTTACAGTGGCCGGGTGCAGAATGTGTGTGCAGGTGTATTTCTGGTCTGCCTGACTGCATTGTGCCACAGACATAGCCTTCTATACAGCACTTGAACTCTGCATGTTTAATCCCAGCAGGTTCTGCGTTACACAGTAGCTTTGACATACACACAGTCACCTTGCTACACACCTTGACACACCATAATTGCTCCATAACATTCAGAGGTTTGTGTTTGCTAGCTGGTGGACTTTGTCAGTGAATCACACGCTGCAGTTGTCTGACTATAGCAGCGCATTTCAGTGTTGGAAGACTTTGGTATTGTTGAGGTTGATACAAAGTGTGTTGTGACTCACTCGCCTCTCATATTTCTGCAACCCCCTCCCTCTCCCCCACCTCCTCACTCTGCCTCCCCCCTTTCTGTGTCTGTCTCTAGTTACAAGAATATTACAAAAAGCAGCAGGAACAGTTGCATCTCCAGCTTCTGACTCAGCAGCAGCAGCAGCAGCAGCAGCAACAGCAGCAACAACAGCAGCAACAGCAGCAGCAAGCTGGGAAGCAAGCGGCAAAAGAGGTGAACTTCACCAAGTACACACTCACTCAGCTGAAGTACACTCTAAAGTACACAAGTACCCTTAAACGCAGTAAAAGCGGTTGACATGGGAGCCTGACAAGGGGAAAAAGTCACGTGAAGGATCTAATGTATAGGATGTAGGATATACATTAGCAATTTCCATCTCTCTTTCTCTATCATCCTCCTTTTTTCTGGTTTATTATTGTTTTGTGTACCAGCTTGTCTCAAAAACAAGGATTAGTGACTATGTATTTTTATTTTTTCCACCAGCATGCCATGTCGAGGCAGTAAAGGAGTGCTGTGCTAAACCATACGCTACCCTGCCAAAGTATTCATTTGCATGCCTTCAGCTCTAAACCCGAGGTGAAATCTCTCTGTAGGAGGGGTCTGCCGCTCTTTTAATTGTCAATTAACCCCACCAGCACTAGGAGCCTCCCTTGCTCTAGCTTTCCCTCTCACACACACACACACACAAATATGCATGAACACACACTATACCAGGTTTAACCACAGCTGTGGTACAGCAGGATAAGAGGGCATCAACTAGGATCACATTGTGGCACAACAAAGAGGATCTCAATCGATCAGACAAGATTACTGTCATAACTTGTGTGTACGAGAGTGTGTGTGTGTGTGTGTGTATGTGCCTGTTTGTGCATGTGGGTACCGTTTGTGTATAATAGAGACATTTTTGTTACAGTCACCAAAATTGCAGAGCACACAGAGGACCATGCAGGAGACAGACTTAAGGAGAAGTGCCTTGTGAGACTGATAAACGCATGAGGAGACACATCCTAGATTTCTCCTCCTCTTACTCCTCTCCCAGTGGGCAGAGACCCCCTCCCACACACACACAAACTCCTCACCGACAGCGGTCAACCAACTCGACCGTGACCAAAGCAAACCAGTTGTGGTTGACTCGCATGTTGAGAGGGTGTCTGAATCGCTTTCGCTTTCTCCCTTCTCTCTGCTGCTGTCCCAGTTTTCAGGTTTGTTGTCCTGTAACAACTAGACAAGTGCAAACACTGGTCACACAGCTACACATACATGCAGAGAGGGAAAGGCTTGATGTGTGATGGTTCACTGCACAAACACACACTCGGGGGTTTATTCCTCCCTACAGAGCTGCATACAGCTGATATGACTAAGGCCATTTCCAGCAGTCAGTGTTTTTCACTTGCTGCAAGCCATCAATCAAAAACAAAAAACACCTTTATAGTCGACTCTCATATCTCTCCTAGTAAAGCAGGCGCTGTCAGATATTGATGCAGGGCACATGTTTCATTTATGTAAGGCTTGTACTGTTTGTAAGCCTGTCCTACAATGCAAGATAACCAGGTATCAGCCAGGTAAATTGTCTTTTAACCTAGAAACTGCTTCTGGTCAGACTAGTGTTAGACCAGGTGTGGAAGAGGATTTAAACCAACTTTAGATTCTAGCAGGCCTTCAATACACCCAGAAAACAAGAGAACAGGAAGAAACAGAAAAAGACAGAGTAGGAAGTGCAGCAAATACAACAGAAAATCTCTCCTTTTGGAGTGTTTGTGCTCGAGTGGCTGTGACATTTTGCCCTTTTCCCTCTTTTCTGCAATTCCTCTTCACTTTCTTGTCTCCGTGGAAGTGAAGCATTGAAAGAAAGAGTATGTATGTGTATGTTCAATCAGTGTTTGTGTGTGTCGCTGGCGCAGTTGGGACTGGTCAGGAGTCAGCTTAATGAAGTGACTCTGACCATCATAAGAGATGTGTGCACGTGTATGTGTGTCCACCACTAGTGTCCATCTACAGTATGTGTGTGCTGTGTGTCTTTCTGTGAGTGTCCTTCTATGTGTGTGTGTGTGTGTGTGTGCGTCTGTGTGACTGGCAGGCTCAGACAGTGTGTGATGTGCTCATAAATCACATTGACAGCCTGTTACTGCGCTAGCTTTGGCCACTCAGCCACAGCTAATGTAAACAGAACACAGGCACACACACACACACACACACAATGTGTGCTTTAAAGAACCATAGCCATATCTCAAGAGGGAATGAGAGACAGAGGGCGGAGTGGAAGAAATAAAATGGACAGACAAGTGAAAGAGGAGGGGGATGTCTGGAAAGAGAGAAAGAAAAAGAGAAAGACGGGAGGAAACAGTTCAGTCAGGATATTCTGATCATGATAAACCATTTATTGCAACAAATTTGAATTTGGCAATTCACATGGCTTCACAAGATCTGAACTATGTAAGCATGATACAGAAACATTCCTTTTCTTTGACAAAGCCTAAGAGATGAATGTTTCCTGATTACACTGTAGTTCCAATATAGCAAACACAGGTGTTTTTTACCAACTGTAGAGTGAAACTGGAGCATTGACAGCGTCAGGTCTGTGTCATGGACTGTAGCTGTGGCCCCGATCAGTGCCTAGGTTTGTGTGAAAGCAGTGCTTGCAAGTCACTTTTGTGAAACAGGCTTCAGATTTCCAGCAAAGAGTTCAGTACAAATATTAAAACATTTTCAATAATCTTCAAAACCTATTGCTGAAACCAAATTCCATTGAATGTCTGCATGAAAAAAAAAGGATTTCCCCCCTCTCTAATCCTCCTTCTTTTTTCTTTTGTAAAGAATAGTTTGTTGTGCTTACTCCTCTACAACCTCCCTAAAAGCCCCCTCCCAGACCCAAACGCACTGCCATCACACTTCGTCTCCCCAGGCACCAAGTCTGAAAGGAAGTGACCTTTCTGCCCTTCCTGTGAGATCCTCTTTGTTCAAAGAGTTCCAGGCTGCCACTCTCTCTCACAGACACATGCACACACAATGAGCAGTTCCTCAAGTTGTATTTATTTATTTATTTTCTCCCCTAGTTATCTGTGAGAGATAAAGTCCACCTCTTTGGGGGGTTGGTATGGGGGGACTTCAAACAGCGCAGCACAGGCCAGGTCTGCTCCAGACTAGGAAAGCAGGAAAGGGGACATTTATCACTGTAACACACATCAACATTATCGCCACATGCCATGTACTCGCTCCCACTCTCCCTTGTTCCCTTCCCTCCTTCTCTTCATCCCCAAGGTCCTCAAATTGAGTTTCAGACTATACTTTCCTTTAATACTAATGTATTAATACTACTTCTCAGCAGAAGACAAATCATATGTATACCCTTGTATTTAATTTATATGGTGTTAGTTGACTTAATACTTGAATTGGTTGAAGGGTATAATGGGACTAGCAGACCAATTGGCATCATAATACCAGAACAGTGAAGAGCATCTTCTTAGATGTGAAAAGAAATAAATCAATCTGGGGCAAATTTAGTTCAAAACTACCATTGAAAAATGTGACACTAATATGTGTCAGAGTTGATCTGTTGATGCAGATTTCTGTAGGTCTTCACTGGTTCAGGGTTTGACATTTTTGTGCAATTATGCAGAGGATTTAATACCAAAAAATCCCTAACTTTTTCTACCCTGTCTCTCTCTGTGTCTTCTGGCAAACAGCAGTTAGGCAGTAAGCAGTTGGCCTTCCAGCAGCAGCTGATCCAGATGCAGCAGCTTCAGCAGCAGCACATCCTCAACCTCCAGAGACAAGGCCTGGTCCCACTGCAGCCCGCCACCACCATGCAGTCTCTGCAGCAAGGTACGTACACCCCCCCACACACACATATACACAACCCCCAACCATACAACACTCAGTCACACTGACCCATTCTGAAAAACATGCATGCACACATGGTCATAACTGAGCACACACAGGCCTGTACTCACCGCCGCATGTGAAGCCTGTTAAGTTAATCAGCCTATAAAAGATAAAAGGTAACCTGATTGGTGGGTTTGTGGAAGGTACTCATTTGGATAATAAGTAAAATATGCCACTAAGCCCCCTGCTTGGAGGTGTGTGCATGTTATTGCGCAAGTGTGCGCATGCTTGTGTGTGTGTGTGTACTTGAGATTAACCAGACACAAGAACATCATCATTTTGCTATGGTTGTGCCCACTGGATTTTTTTTTTTTTGTTCCTATACGTAACTTCTCCCACAGTCCCTTCATTTTGTCAGCATGGTTTTGAAATGATAAAAGTTGACTGTTGACTGGTCCGCCCTCAGTGAACATGTGTGTATGTGTGTGTCGTCCACACACACGCATACACACTATCTCACACATGGAGAATGCTTTAGGGGCCCTAAAGTGGCCGTAACATTGCTAAAGCGCTGAGTGAGTTGACCAAACACACCGGTTTCCTTCCCTCCATTTGTCTGATCTCTCCCATTCTGTCGTTCACAGTCACATGCAGTCACACACACAAACCCTCGTACTCACACTGTAATCTGATTTAGACGAAACAAAAATAAACTCAGCCAAATCAATGAATTTCTAAAAGACCCAACACCCAAGAACTGCACAGAAACTTTAGGATGATTTGTGCTTGTGGGTGTTTATGGGCTAGGGGGTCGCAAGTGGTTCACAGAGAGAGTGAAAAAGGACCTGAAGTAGATACAAATTGAATACAAATGAAAAGACAGAGGCTACAGTTTTGGATAGAAGAGTGTAATTTTTCAGACAGTTGCAAACATTTAGCTTTGGCATCTCCTTCTCTTTCTCCCTGACTCCCTTCGTATCAGAGTGGAATTTCCCTGCAGTGTGAAAGAGCCGGTCCATTGTGACGGCTCAGCCAGGCGTGAGCCTGAGCATTCCTCTGGCCAGCCATGCCATGCAAACACACAAACACACATGCATAAACACACGCACATACACACACACACACACACACAACTGCACACACTATTGCCCCGCCTCAAAGGACCGTTGTGTCCGGTGGGTAGATGGTGGTGGGGGGGCGTTGACATGAGGGGTCCTGCTATGGTTTTTGTTTATTTCTTTCACTGCAGCAAAATGGAGGCAGTTCTCAGATATCTCATGAGTGCAAATGTTCATTAGAGACCAAAACTAAACTACTATGTTTTAGCACTTTGTAACTTTGTTTTTGAAAGGAACTATATACTGATAAATTAAACTGAAAGTGCACTAAACTAATTTTAAAGAGAATCACACAGTGTTTTCTATGCACAGACCAGGCATGGAGAGTGTCTAAGTTCCGTTTCAGCAGTTTCTTCACTCTCATACAAAAAACAACTTTAGATTTGATTTCTTCCTGTTGGAAACACAGTTTTTTTCTTTCTTTTTTTGAAAGATAATTTTTTCAGCAACTCTTCTTTATTTAATAGACACAGTAGAGAAAGTCAGGTAATGCAGGGAAGAGAGAGGGGTTAACATGCAGCAACGGGCCTGGGCCAGTTTCAAATCCGGGCTGCTATGGTAAGGACTCTGCCTTGACACATGGTACACACTCTACCAGGTGAGCCACAAGGGCTCCCCAGAAACCCACCTTCTAAGTAACTTCAGGCTACTATCTACCATATGTCATTTGTGTACAGACACTAATGTGAAATAGATATGAACCTAGCAGCCAGATGTCGGTGTGTACATTTGATATGTGTGAGCATGTACGGTTAGCAAGAGCAATCTCATCTTCCACAAATACTTACTAGCTGGAGGGAATTGTAAGAATGTATTTTGACCTGAATGCACACAAAATCAGGATTTTATGTTTATGAAGTTTGCACTCATCAGTAAATTGCTGACCTTCACTAGAATCCAGAATCTCTTTCTTCTTAGTTACATTTTTTCTTGTATTTTTAATTGAATGTGTGTGGTATGAGCTAGTCTGATAAGTCAAAAGAGGAAACAGTTTATGCAACAATCCCTTAACCGCTTTGCACTTTCACTCTCTGAGTGTGTCCACAGATTGGTCCGTTTTTTTGGGTAATACACACACACCCACAGAAATCTATGCTCACACCGCCTCATTCCTCCAGAGTGAGAACTTTTGTTTTGGCGGGACCATAGAAGAATGCAGACAAAGCAGACATAATATTTGGATTGCTGCGAGGTCTTTACATGTGTGTGTGTGTGCAGATGTGTGTGTGTGTGTAGCTGCATGCGTGCGTGCGTATGTACGTGCATGGTTAAGATCCACTGGAGTAGGCTGTGGCATTTTAGGCGTCTCTCTTACTGTGAAATTGGAGCAGAAATAACAAAGCTGCAACTAGAAAGAACTCAAAGTGTGCCCCCACCCTGTTCAGACAAATAGTGGTAGTGACAGGAGCAGTGGTGCTGGTGGACAGTAGCAATTGCCAACAGAGATTAGGAAATAGTTGATTAATAGTGGATATCTGGAAAAATAAGAAATTAGTAGAAATTAATCTCTTGTCTGTTTTAGTTTGTCCTATTTTCCTCTCTCACTGTAAAAGTTGCATGTGTGTTTTATATAGATCAGAAAAGGTAGTCACAGCTCTCTGTGACATCATTTTATTTACAGTCTTTGTGTGTAGGTGATACTGCAATTGTTGGCTCATCTGACTTATTTTTAACTGTATTTCTTCTTAGCCTTGTTTAAATTAGCCTAACTTGAATATGCTATAATCACATTTGCACTGAACACGTGAGGTTGATCACCTGAGTTAGTTGCTAAGTAAACTGTGTGTCCCTTCTCTGCAGCGATGTGTCCGTCAGACCTCCAACAGCTGTGGAAGGAGGTGTCGGGGGTGCCAAGCAGTGAGGAGGCCCTGAAACAGGCCGAGGGCCTGGACTTGAGCACCAACAGCTCCAATTCTACCTCAGCCTTCCCCAAAACTGCCAGCGCTCACATCTCACTGCACAGCCTGGCCAACGGACAGAGCCACACCCCAAAGAGAGACAGGTACCATAATGTGCAGTATGACAAAATATATATGTGTAAATATCTACATTGTGATGGTGTGTCTGTCCTTTGTGTGTCCCTGTAGCCTCTCTAACTCACACAGTCTCGCTATGTCATTTTCAACTTTTAGCTTTCAACTGTTCTTCCATACCTACACACGTAAACACAGTTAGGAAGCATGAAAATGCAGCATATCACACATCACCAGGGTGTAAGTGTCTCTCAGCTCATTTGATAGGAGGTGCGTTGGGTTCAGTATGTTCTGCTGGTATGCTGTCAGCTACATGCCAGTATAGTATGGAGGAAAGGAGAAGAGAGGATGGTAGAGGCAGGCCACCTGGAAGAGAATGGAAATTATTTGTCAGAGTCATCTAAAATTGTAGGATAAATTCCTTGTTACCCTGTTGACATATCAGAGATGCATGTGCTGGCAGTACTTGTTCTACCATGATGAGGGCTGTGTTGTCCCATGGCTTTTCCGGCTGCTCATGGGCTTGTCTCCGTCTTTAAGAGCCAGACTGTTTGAGTGGATATCCTCCTTCACCAAGGCAGACAGCGGAGATGACCATCTCCCCCTTTACGCCAAAAGCAGCCAACCCCCCAGCAGCCAGTGAGTAGCACGTACACACTCACACATACACAAACCTGAGTGGACAAGACTGAGACAGAAAGACTGTTGGAGGGTGGTCTACAGTGTCCTTCAGCACTGATTCACTGCCTGCTCCAGGGGCATTGTTGACCCTGACCATGACCTCATATTGGAGGGGGTCAGGGTAGGTGTGCCAGTATTAATTAAAAGCGTTTCTGTCAGTTGATCAAATATGTCACACACTGCCATACTACTACTGCAGTGCTGGTATCTCAACAGAGTTGGCTTTTGTAGAAGTATGAAGGGAGTAGCATTAGTGTGTTAGCCTGCTAAGCTAATGCATGGCTGATGTGGAGGAGAATGTGGTTGCCAGCAGTTTGTCATGTCTGCTGTCTGAGCTGCTTCTGAGTTGACTCAACCACAGCCAGCACACACACACACACACACACACACGCACACAAGCTCCGACCTCAGCCAGCACATATGATCAGGAAGAGGCGAAAAAGCAGAGGGAGAGGGAGAGAGACATGTTTCCATCTGCGAGACAAATGGTTTTTGTTAGACAACCTTCTGATGTTGATTTGGGAGAATCCCCATCCCAGTCCACACACACACACACACACGTGCACACACACATATACACACATACAAATACACACATACACACTCATGTAAATATATGTGGAGACAGCAGTCGCAGGCGAAGGTCCAGGTCTGAACCACATCTGCTACTGGACCTGCCACACACACACACACACATGCACAGACACACATGCACAGACACAGTTATTTTACCCTGGGCCCAAACCAAACCTGGCCCAGTCTTTCATCGCCACACACACATACAAATACACACACGCTCATAAATATAAACGGATACACACACAAAAAACACACACATGCACAAGCTCACCACAAAAGAACAACCAGCACATGACGGCAGCCGCCACCAATCAGTCATGGCTGGTTGGTCCTCTGCCGACTGTGTGTCAACTCCTGAAATATAAGAACACACACCAACACTAACATACACATACACGACACATACGCCAAGGACAGAAAGACAGGTCATGGACTTGAAGAATGTGCCTCTGAGGTTGCTGGACCAATTCCCTCATTCGCCTGGCTTCTGTAACTGACCCCACTCTGCTCTATCCTCCTCTCTCTGCACTTGGCTTCGTGAACTGTGCAAACTAATGACTGCTAACCAGACTCAGATGGCTGTAGTGATGCTTCTGCTGCTACAGTTAGTTTTGTGTGTGTGTTTGTGCATGAGTGTGTGGCATATTAATACTTTGGTTCTTATTCTGAGAAAGCAACCGCTTTTATTTTCTGTGTATTTTATATGTAGTACAACATATGAAAATCTGTTTTACTATCTCTGTCTTTTTGTGTCTCTCTCTCACCCCACAGTCATGAGGAGCACTCCGGCTCCCATCCTCTTTATGGCCATGGTGAGTGTAAGTGGCCTGGCTGTGAAGCACTGTGTGAGGACATGGGACAGTTCATTAAGTAAGTTAACAACCACCCAAAAATGTGATATATGATGCGCGGGTTGGGGTTACAAATTAAAACAGTACACCACACAATGAAGAACATACGTTGATTGATACGCATGACTGCCTCGAAACTAAAGTGCTCTGAGTTTTAATATGAATGCTCATGACAACATGTGCCTGCAGGCTGTATATTTAATACTGCAGCTGGAAAAAGACAACAATGGCAGGGCAATATTTCCAGAAGAGTTTTTAATGTAATGCTCAAACCTTTGCAGTCACACACATCACTCTCATTGGTCACAATCCAGGTTTAAGAACACATAAAAACTTCCTTCCATTGTATCACTAACTGGTAACAAACACAATGCCTGTTACTTGAAAAGGCTCCTGCTCCGATTCAGATCACCAGTGGGAACAAAAGATGAAGTAGAGCAAAGTGAAGCTATAGTTTGTGCTAAACATGGAGTGTCACGTACATCACTGGGGTTTTGCATTACCTCACTAATTCATCTGTTGCAATCTGTTACATCACGATTGCTCTGAGGCACGTGTGTGCGTACACACACATGGGCAAACACACAGGCACCCCCATACACTCAACACCTGTGTAAGTTCTCTGTTTTTCGAGGAATTCTTTGGGCCCCTCTTACAATGGTATCATCTTCCTCGCTCAACTGACACACATTTTATTGGCTGTGTGTGCACATGCATCCAGTCATTTGTTGCTTTTATACATGCAAGAATAAGTGGTCTGAACATGTGAATTGATGTGCATCAGTGGTGTCTGTCACCGTGTCCTTCCTTCATTTGGTTGGTGTTTTTTGTCTGTGTGTGTGTGTTTGTGGTTTCTGCTTTTTCTCTGAAAGGCCAGAAAGATTGTTTTTTGCTTAAACAGAAAATGATTCTTAATTAGCTCATCCACATGCACGCCTTTTTGTTTCCACGCAAAGACATCAAACAACTTCTCTCCCACTCATTCCCACTCTACATCCATAACGGTATTTGCCAGTTTGGAGTCACTGGGGTGTGCTGATGCAGTAGCTGGCCTTGACATTCTGCTCCCTCCTCCTCTGTCACACACACACACACAGTGCAGTGGACTTCCCCGTGGCACTGTGGCTGCTAACGAAGGCTTCACAAGCCTCTAATGAAGCCCTAAACAAACTCACACTCTCATTATCTTTGTGGAACTCTTAGCTATTTGAACAATGGAGATATTAATAAGCCAGGGTGATGAAATATGTACTCACACACACACACACACATAATCACAGAAGTGTGCGTAGTGATTGTGATGGCATCGGACAGTCAGATCAAAGGGAGCAGGCAGGCTGGGAAAGTTTGGAGAGGAAAGCTGTTGTTTGGTGTCTCATTTCACGTAGCCCCAGGGCAGATGGAAGGGGGAAAAGAGAGATAGAGTGAAAGAGTGTGTGTAAGAGAGAGAGGGAGATGGAGAAGAAAAAGAGGTAATGACAGATAATGCCGTCAGTCCGACAGTGTGCTCCCTTCCAGCCAGCCTTAGTCATCGCCCTGGGAGGGAAAAGGGTAGAGTAGAAGAACAGAGGAGGGAGACACTCCACTATTTCAGTCTTTTCTTCTCTTCTCTTCTCTCTGCCCACCTCCCCTCCCTCCCAGTCCTCTGGTATAATACTCTGGCTGTGGTCAGTGGAACTGGGTGTAATGTGGGTTAAAGCCTTGTCTGCCAGCACTCAGAGGAGTAAACAGAGCCTCATTGTCGGGACACATCGAAAAAAAAAGCTTGCTACTGTTTATGGCCCGGCTATAGAGAGAGGAGGGGTTTTGGGGGCCGATTTTTGGTTGGAATGAGTGTGAATCATAGGCATTTAGGGAGTTGCGGGGGAAGACGAGTGGGAAGGGGAGAGTGGACAGACGTGCGAGTGAGGAAGAGGGAGAGAGAGCTTAACAGAGAATGAAAGAGATAGAGGGGTGAGATCATGTTTTTGTTATTATTATTGTGCACTTGTGTTGAGCCGTCTATCTGCCTGGATTAGCAATGCCATGACATCATTGTTTTTGTTTCATTTCTAGTCTTCGCCTGATATTGCTTAACTTTGTGCTTTCTTAAAGACACACACACATGCGCACACACTAAAATAATCATACTCTACATCCACACACACACACACACACACACACTCTTCCTTGTGTAACATACATTTTCACAATAAACAAGTCCAAAAAGTGGCTTTATGAAGATTCAGATTAAAAATGAACACTACAGGATATCCCAAAAGTCACTCTGGTGTACACACAACTACACGCACACTCACACCGTAACATGCATGAGCACACACACTCACACACACCGGCAACCTGTGAATAACCTTGGCAATGACAGAGTAGGGAGAAAGGAGTGGAGGAAGGGAGGGGCGGGCTGGGAAAGATCAGAAGGTCCTTGGTCCTCCCACATTGGAGGAAACAAACAGCGCCACCATCCACACATATCCATGCACACACACGCACACACACGCATACGCACCAGTGTTAATATGTGGAGTGGAGTTTAGCTAACAGAAAGTCTTTAGATAAGGCTTCATGCGATAACACATGAGCTCATATCCAGGTGGTTGACTTGGATCATGGCTCAGTGAGCACCATTGAACTATACACACACAAAACACAGCTGCTGCGTCCTTCACTAGACAAAATACACTTCCAAGATTATAATTTATTTTTATTGTACTGAAACAGCTTGTAACTAGTTTAAATAAAAGTGAAAGACGATTCTGTTGACTCAGTATAACTTAAAACTTATCATTGAAGTGGGGCTAGCAGTGCTTTGATCATCTTGATGCTTTTAATTCATAGACATCTACTTATTTCCCCAAAATGACTGAATGTGGGCCCTGTTGCGTTTCCCTTTACCTCTAGGCACTTGAACAATGAGCACGCCCTAGATGACCGCAGCACTGCTCAGTGCCGAGTCCAGATGCAGGTGGTTCAGCAACTGGAGATACAGGTGAGTCACACACACATTTTCATCCTCTTGCAAACAAAGTCATGAAGACTCAGCCAGTCAGTGGCAGAAACTTGTCAGAGGCAGGGCAGAGTTTATGGAGAGCAGTAGAGCTTGTAATTTAAAAGGAGCAGTCGGCAGGGAAGCTGCCACCGCTGCTCCAATTATAAAGCTGCCTTGGTCACCAGCAAAAGAGCGCGAGGCTGAGAGGGGGGGGGGGGGGGAGAGAAGAGAAAAGACAGTGAGAGAGACATGAGCTAGAAAGTGGAGGACCAGGCTGCCTCTCTTGTTCTCAAAGTGGTTCGTGCACACAATCCTCTTGAAACATCTGAATGCTCCAGCAAAAGCAAGATGCCAACACGTGGTTAAGAAGTAAAATGCTGTTCCCTAACAGTACATAAGGAAAGAAAAGAAAAAAAAAAAAAAGAAAATACAAAGGCTGCACATCTTGACATAGTTTCCAAAACACTGTTTACATCGCTGCATGTGTGTGTGTGTGTGTGTGTGTGTGTGTGTGTGTGTGTGTGTGTGTGGGCTGTCCAGCATTAGGGTTAGCATTGTGTTTGGTGGTGGTGGTAAACAGCGTTTAGCTGAGCCCCTGAAGCCACCACCAGAGAACACAAAGTGACAGAGAGGCAGCTGGTGTCACATCACATCAGGACAGCCGTCTCTCTCTCCCTGACATGTCACTTCATCCCTCAGGAGTCCACAATCAGCCCACCACTTGCCCCTCCAGCAGCACATACACACACACACACACACACAGCAGCACAGGCACTGTGTTTAAAATTCTCATATTTGCACAAGTATAGTAATGGTGCTATCAGTTTCAGCGTAGATCTGTCTTTTCTGGAGGCTACCCGTTTATACGATTGTGCTCACACACAAACACACACGCAGGATGCAGCGTTTCCACAGGCTGCAGCAGCACCCATTAAGTGGCAGTTAACAATGTCAAACGGGGACGAGTGTGTCTGCAGGCTAGTGTAAGTGTGTGAGAGAGCTCTGGGTGCTGAGGCGGCTGACTCTCATATTCATCCCTCTGCCTGAGGTGTAATTGCAATTGTAATTCTGTGTCAATACCACATTATATCAATGTAAGGTTATGGAATGAGACAAAGTGTTTTTTTCATGGTGATATCCACCCTTGTGTTTTTCACAGCTTGCAAAAGAGAGCGAGCGACTCCAGGCTATGATGGCCCACCTGCACATGCGCCCCTCAGAGCCAAAGCCTTTTAACCAACCTGTGAGTACACACTGGCACCCCAAATTACATGACTTTTTCTTTTTTCTGCCCTATGAACCCAAAACCTTTTCTCTTACCTCTTATTCATCTACAAACTCTCTTAATTAAGCAGTTTCACAATCCCTAAACCTCCTTGGGATTTTCACTTTCCTCTCTTACTGTCTAGCTTGGTATCAACGCCCCCTATTGACCAGTGAAGGTTAATGTGTTATTTCTAAATCATGGGGAGTTCTTTCTGCCTTTCTTGTTCTTTTCCTTCACTCACACTTTTTCTGCCTTAAACCTCTCATGATGCAGTGCATTTCATTTCCCAGAAAACTATGATTTCATAATGTTCTATCTCCACAGAGGAAGAACATTATGTATTCAATTCAGCATCTATAAATTGTGAATTCTAAGCTTGTCGGAGAGAAAGAGTAGCCAAAGCAGCCTCTCACAGTACTTTCAGTGTGCGCTGACAAAAGGGATAGAAATTTGATTTGATGTGTGTGTCTGTGTCTGTGTGTGTGTCCACACTGGTTGGTGAGGTTGTTATTAGGTATCTAATGAATATTTCATTATTCAGATTGACGAGGACTCTTATTAAAATATGAAGATGTTGAAATTAATTGTCAATTAGTGGTAGAGTGTCTTAATTTGAGGGGATATAAATGAGTGCAGCCGAGCGGCAATGTATGTGTATGTGTGTGTGTGTGTGTGTGTGTTTGTGTGTTCTTGAGTGTCTAGATGATGTGTAGATCGCAGGGGGATCAGCTGCTATTAACATCTAATGGGAAATCAGGAAGAGGCGTGTTCTGTCACCACTGGAGACGAGCCTCGGGGTCAGGGATTGGAGGAGGAGGGGCAGGGGAGGAGCGTCAGGAATGGAAACAAAGCTTGGCCTCAATTAACAGGGTTCGACTGTTGCCGTGGTGATGCGGCAGGGTTGCAGCGTTAATGAAGTACCTGTTAAATAGCCCCGCCCACTCCAGTCAGCTTAAATGGTACAGAGAGGGGGCATAGCAAAGGGAAGGCTATTCAAACATTTTACATACATATAGACAACGCACATTTTGGTTTTAATTAGTCCTAAACTAGCAGCCCAGAGAGACTGGAAGTACTGGTTCTGTGTGTGTGTGTGTGTGTGTGTGTGTGTGTGTGTGTGTGTGGGTGTGTGTGTGTGTGGGTGTGTGTGGTGTGGGTGTGTGTGTGTGTGTGTGTGCGCGCGTTTGTGTGTGTATGTGTGTGCAAGGCTCTGCCTAATTGGGCCGTATTGGTCCATGAAGACTTTGCCACCGCAGAGTGCATGTGTGTGTGTTCCCTTCTTACAAACATGCTGTCATGTGGTTTTGTATTTGTAAGTGCAGGGTTAATTGCAGCCAGCGCTGTGTGTATAAATATATGTGCATGTTCAGTGTGTGCGAGTGTGTGTGGTTCTGCACAAGAATGTAGGTTGAGCTTGGTAAATGGTAGGGACACAAATTCATAGGCAGTGTTGGTGCTTTATTTCTGTAATGTGAGTTACCATTCCTGGCTATAGTGCCCTTTACTGCTTAAGGTAAAATAATGTAAAATTAATGGCTGGAACAATTTTCAGTCATAAGAAAAGTAGTCGTGGCACTGTTGGTCCTTAGTGTTCTGTGTTTGCTTTATTTCTGTGCTCCATATACTGTATTGCTGAGCAGGGGAACTTACTGCATTGTTCACTTCTGAGTCACAACCTGAAATGTAGTGATATTCCTACATGACGAGTAGACAAAAGCACTTTCCTCAAAGAGATTTGTTATGTATATGACACAAAAGCATTGTCTAATGCACTGATATCACCCAACCCTGATCTTATCTTGTGGAGCTGATGTTCCTCAGTAAACAGCAGCAGCACTCAGCAGATGGTGAAGCTTTAAAGTAAACACGAGGGAAGCATTAATCATATAAAAAAAACACACTTTATCACTGCACTCAAACAATTCTACACCCTCAGTACAGAAACTATTCATTTTATATTAATAATGATAAGTTAGTTTACCCCCTTTTCTTTTTAAACATATTGCTAAATAATAATAATAATTAAACTGAGGTACAGTATGTTATATGAGGATAGGGTATTTTAATAAAATGAAATTAACTTGTGGGTATTTAAAAAAACAACTATTCATATTGTAGAATTGAAACTTTTTCAGTTGCTCTAACAAGCAAAACTATGAAACATCCTTGTTAGAAATAAAAAATTTATAATCAGTTAATCACACTAATTTCTCCGCGTCTGTGTGTGTGTGTGTCTCTCTCTCTCTTTCTAGCTGAACCTGGCTTCCAGTGGCTCTCTCTTAAAGCGGGACAGCGAGGCCTACCCAGAGGGTCTTCCTCACCCTCCCACCTCTGCTGCCACCCCCATCACCCCACTGCGCCAAGGACCCTCGGTCATCAGCTCCTCCAGCCTGCACACACACTCCCACTCCCACACGCATGGCGTCGGGCCCATACGTAGGCGCAACTCCGACAAGTACTGCACGCCCATCGCCTCAGGTAGATTGTAACATACACATACCCAGTACCCCATTATTATTGATTCATAATAAACTCAAATTGCATATGATAATACAGTGTTGATGACTGCTTTAGTTTTTTCAAACAGTACTTGATGCAGTTGTTGCCATCTCTTGGCTTCTTACAAAAGAAAATTAAGGATGACTTTAACCTCAGTTTTAAATGGTGAAAGAGTAAGGAATATATGATTGGCCTCTAAAGAAAAATATTAAGAAAATGTAGCAATTTCAGAAGAGTGGGCATTACAAAGCTGTGCTCATCAAATTTTTCCCATAAAAATGTGCTTAAAGCTGGGGTAGGCAATTTATTTGAGGCATTTTTTGCTATATTTGTTGAAATTTTCTTAACATCTGAAAGCAATCAATAAATCAAATAAAGCTCTGACACAAAAATGAAAAGAATCCAGTATTTGTGGCTGTCACAGGACTGTAATAAGTATAGCCAATTTTTTCATTCTGACCTAGCTGCCTACCTGCATGCATTAGACCCGTGCACTCCCTGCACATGAAAATGTGTTATTGGGGAGTGGCTTTGGAGGGAGGCCTGAAGGGAGATGGTGGGATTTTATAGTTGGAAATCAAAATCTAGCTGTCTCTTACTAGTTTCATGCAAAGTTGCCTACCCCAGCTTTCATACTTGGTATGCAGAATAATATCAAGCATCTAGATAAACACTGCTGAGATAATAGTTGTTCTAGATACAATTTTAATGTTTCCATTACTTAACATGGATTTATTTATTTAAAAAAATGCTACTGAGATCATTTCCTAATTTGCGAGTGTTACACTAAAAACTCACAATTCACAGATATTTAAAGTTCATATCGTCATGCTTTTTTTGTTCCAGAGCTGGCTCAGAACTGTGAGTTCTACAAGAACGCTGATGTCAGGCCTCCTTTTACCTACGCCTCTCTTATACGTCATGTAAGTCTCTCCAGTGATCAGGTTTCACCATTTCTTCCCTCCATCTATGTTCTCCACTAAATCTTGTTGTGTCTCTTTCCGTCCTCAGGCCATTCTGGAGTCCCCAGACAGACAGTTGACTCTCAATGAGATCTATAACTGGTTTACACGAAAGTTTGCCTATTTCAGGAGAAACACAGCCACGTGGAAGGTAAATGCTTGTAATATACCCCCCCCGATCTTCATGTTCTGTTGGCTGGATGAAATGTATCTAAATGTGAACTCACTTAAATCCTCAAAATTTTCTATAAAAATCTTTCCCTGACTGAACTTTCAGAAGCAGTTTAAAATCAATATCCTAAGCTAAGTTATTTTGAAAAACTTGGAAGATGGAAACAAGATCACTTAGCAAACTACTTTGGAGTTGTTTAGATGATGGTAAAAACAGGCTGCACCACATTGAAAAAGTGAACGCTTTGACATATTATTTTGACTAAAACAAAAATGTGGTATGCAACTCTGACTGGATAAAAGCTGATCTAATTGATCTGTTTGCACTGATGAAGCCCCTGACCTAAGCACATGCCAGCTGAGACTTGTTAGACCACATTGACAGAAACCAAATTTGCAGGTGGGTTTCACAGTGTCAGTTGAAGCATTTTGATTGGTCAAAATGACCTCACTTTGCAGAAAATGGATTCATTTTGAAGGCCCGAATTAAGCGTTTATACTCATAATGATACAATAACAAACACACACTTTAACTCTGCTCAGCGCCCAAAGATATGACTGAGTGAACAGTTATTGCCGGTTTCTGTCCTTTATGAGGTACCTTCCTACTGCTCTCTTTCTCTCCACCTTTCCCACTCTCTCTTTTGCTCTTTCTCTGTCTGTCTCCCTCTTGGCCCGAAACACTTCCCTCACCTCCAACATGGCACATGGAGAATCGGTCCCACTTAGCCCGGCAGAGCCACATCTAGCCGTTATACAGCCTCATTACAGAGACGCACATACAAAGCTGACACACATGCTCACTGCTCATGATCACAGACATTGAATACTCTCTCTCTCCTTCCTCATCTCTCTCTCTCTCTCTCTCTCTCACACACACACACCTGGCTTGATCCCACCATTGTAGGTGCTGACCCATTTCTACAGAAACCTCACACTAATTTGAGTGTCAGTTCCTCCAGAGAGATGGGAAGTGAGAGAATGAGGAAAGGAGTGAGAGAGACAGGGGGAGGAGGGGTAAGGAGAGACCCCAGCCTTCCTCTAATAGCCCTAAACAGGGGAGGGGGTGGATGATGATGATGGAGGGATGGAGGGATGGAGGGATGGAGGGATGGAGGGATGGAGGGAGGGGTGCGGAGAAGGTTAAGAGACAGGGCAGCCAGGAATATCTTTACCTCCTCATCTGACTTTTATGAATTTTAACTATTAATGTCTGGTGTCTGCTTCCTGTGCCGTTAGCCTCGCAGACCTTTAAATATAGCTCGGCATGGCCTTATGTATTTATATAGCAGCTCAGTGAGTCAAATAGGGCCGTGGAGATGTATGTCCTTTAATAAGCCGTTATATTTCATGAGGACGGCAGCGGTGTCAGGGAGTGGAAGTCATTGATCATAGACAGAGAATGAGGAAGAGGCAAACGAGAGAGAAAGGGAAAAGGGATGATTGAGAGAGGAGGAGAAATGAGTGTTGAGTGTTATTTCACGGTGCTGCATGATGTTGGAGGCCTAAATGTAGAAGTTTTATTTTGTGTTTAACTTACCAAAAAAATATATAAGCATATAATAGGAATAAAAAATATTAAAAGACTCACACTTCATTTTGACTTCAAGTGGTGTAATGTCACAACTAGAAGTGCATTTACTCAAGTTCTGTACTTAGGAAAAAATTTCTATTTCATGTCAATACTCCATCGTAAAATTTTTTTTTTTTAAGCCAGTACAGTTATTTTACAGCTTTAGTTGCTAGTTACTTTGCAAATTAAGATTTTACATACAGACATATACATTGTTATAGATTAAACAACCCAACAGTATATAAAATAGTTAAAATTACCACCTCGACCAAATACAACACTAAAATGCTGCTTACACATGAATGCATCAGTAATAATTATCCAGTGATATGATATATAACAAGATAACCCTTACAGGGACCTTTTTCTGCAGAATGAGTGCTTTTACTTTTTCTAATAATACTCACATACGTTTGCTTAAGGAAAGGATCTGAAAACGTCATCCACCACTGTTTAAGACTAATCCAGTTGCAAGTCACCTCAAATTACACACTTTTTTATTCATTCTTTTATTTATCATCTCGCCTGCTTACATACAGTATAATCCTATTTAGGATCATATGGGAGTAGCCTATCCCCACATGCATCTGCACTGCTCTGCAGAAACACAACTGGAATGATCTCAATGCTCAAATCTATACAGTATAAAGACATTCACACTTCCAGTTACACCTGTGAACCTGAAATTAATGTAGTCTCCTGATTTATTTCCTTCTTGGTTTGTGATGCACAATTCAGTCGTTCGTCCCAAAATTTCTGCCTCCAGTTGTCGCCCCCCCACCTCTCAGCCGGAGGGAGTGGAGATGAGTGGCACATGTGCTGTGACCCACTGTAAATGACTGCTAATGTTTTAACTGGGAGAATTAGGCTTTCATCACGGAGACGAATGCAAATGGCACTGCAATAGCACTGGTGTCTGGCGTGTGTGTCTGCGTGTGTATGTGTTTGCACTGTCAGGGTGGCGGGCGCAGATTGGGGTCAGACTCATTTACAAAACTTAGCATCACGGCTCGGGGGTTGAGGGGATGCGGGGGAGAAAGGGTTCCTCCGCTGATTATGGCTTGTGTAATTACGTGTGTGTGTGTGTATGTGTGTGTGTGTGCTTGTGTGTACGTGTGTGTGTGTGTATCTGCGTGTGTAATTATGGCAAGGAGTGATGCATGCCTGGCCTGTCCCTCCCTCTCGGCTTAGAACAGCGTGTCAGAGAGAATATGCAGGATTTAATTATAGACGAATTAAAATTGGTAATGAAATTGGGCATGAACAAACTACAAATAGCAGATGAAAAGGGAGGCCTGTCCCTGGGGGGGTGAGACGAAGATAGCGGTGTGCCTGCCTGCTTGGCTGTCTGAGTGCCTGTGGATGTGTGTGTTTCTGTGTGTGTGTGCTGATGATGACTGATTAGAAAAATTCAGAGATAAAATAATGCTACGAGAGAACTGCTACCTTGTATTAGCATTTTACATGGAGCTACAGTAAGTGTGTGTACATGAAAAGTGATGGGTAAAAATAGGACTATTATCCTTAGGTCATACTACTTATAAGGTAACCTCACGCCCAGCTGGAAGGCAATGTTTATACTGAACACACCCTGAGTGAGTGTTAGCTAGGGAAGAACTTTGAGTAAAGGAACAAAAATAAGTGGTGTAAATAACACAGGTGGTGTTAAGTTACTCTTTAAAGACACGTTTCCCACTGGAATATTATGGATGTCGTGGAATATTGTAGCAATACAACTCATTGACTCGTTTTCAATCATGTTAAAGATCTCCCTCTTTTCTCTCTCTCTCTCTCTCCCTTTTTCCCAGAATGCTGTGCGCCACAACCTGAGTCTGCACAAGTGTTTTGTTCGTGTTGAGAACGTGAAGGGGGCCGTGTGGACTGTGGATGAAGTTGAATACCAAAAGAGGAGACCACCAAAGATGACCGGGTAAGAGAGCACACACACACACACACTGTATCACACACATTTGTTTTCTTGGTGCACAGTTGAACTTGATGTGAGTGTGAGCTTATGGGTGCTGGCACTATGATTGCCTAAATGGACCCTCTATTATTACCAAGAGGCCAACTAAGCACTCAGATAAAAAAAAACAACAAAAGGCTGCCGGCTGATCGTGTTCGTACTGAACTGTACGTGTGTGTTTTTCCCTGTTTGTCGACACCATTAGCAAGCAGCTGTGTGAGATGCAGGAGAGGAAAAAACCTTGTTAGCGTATGTAAACAGATGTTCTTTCCAACCGCCAGAGAAACGAGGGATGATTACACACACACGCACAGAGGCACACACACACCTGCACGCCAGATATTAGACACTTACATATGTGTGTGTTTTAGCATCTGTTTACAGTCTGTGTATGTTTCTACTTGTAACAAACATATTTGTCAGAGCGCTTTGGCTGAGGTGACATCTTTCACATGTGTACTCAATCTGTGATTCCCAACACTAACCCCCCCCCCCCCCCCCTCTTTCTGTGTGTGTGTGTGTGTGTGTGTGTGCGCGCGCAGAAGTCCCACTCTGGTGAAAAACATGATTTCAGGCCTGGGCTTTGGATCCCTAAACGCCAGCTACCAGGTAAGGAATACCCTCTCCTCCCCCCATTTATCTCTCTATCTCTCTCTCTCACACACACACACACACATAGCAGCCAATCACAATCAAGGGCACTAATATCAATTCCCTCTTACAATTAGCAGATTCCCTAACGACGTTCACACCACCTCCCTCCACTTCCTCTCACACCAACACACACTCTCACCTCCCACCTCACTTTCTCACACATGCACACCCCCACTCCCCTACCTCTGCACACACACACAAACACACTCTCGACCCATCTCTCCACTCCTACGCAGAGATACACCGAACCCTTGCGACTGAGATGATTTATAGCGTCAAGAAGTTGTCAATTAAGGTTACCGCATAAAATTATCGCTTGTCCCAGAAAATCCATCTCTGAGAATTCCTTTAGTCCGTTTTTCCCCCCTGTGTGAGAGGGGAGGCAGGGTGACTCTCTCACTCACCGGTGTCCAACCTGTCTCATCTACAAACAGCTGGATATGAGTGTTTGGAGCAGTGACAGAGCTGCCCCTGTTGTTTTCTCCTCAGCAGACATTGATGTTTCACAGTGTTTGTGTATGTGTGTTTAAGTTGAGGTTGTGGCTCAGTCTCGCTTGACCTTCCTTCTTAGACTTTCATGTGAACACACACACACAAACACACACACACACACACACACATACTTATGACAGGGACTTTAATATACAAGCACAAACCTTTATGGGGAATGAACTGTATATAAGTGCCCCCTAGTGGTTTGTCAAGTTCACTAGCAAGTTGGTGGGTTCAAATATGCTCCAAATGAAGCTCTCATCAGTACATAAAGAAAATCTCTCCACTATTCATTTTAAACAGTGTTTTACATCTTGTGTAAATATAAATGTGTAAGTTCATCTTACAAAACACTTTATGAGCATTACAGCTTAAATATATTAACGTCAAGAAGAGTAAGATGTTTCTATTTACATGGTTGTGGTAGACGAATGATTTATTACCCGTTTGCCATTATCATCTTCTTTAATTTAATACATCGGAAGTTTATTTAAAAAAAAAAACAACCTTAAATGTAACCCAGCTCCTTTTAAATTAACTGGACAACTGTGTGTGTTGTAGGCGGCTCTGGCAGAGAGCAGTCTGTCCTTACTGAACAGCCCTTCCCTGCTGACCTCTCCGTCTGCGGCCAGCCTCAACATGCTGCATGTGGGCCACGATGATGTCAGCTCCACTGTGGAGCAGGTCAACAGCAACGGGAGCTGCAGCCCCACGCTCAGCCCTCACCAGTACAGGTATCCGCACACTGTATGGACACACAAATGCACACACACAAACGTGAGGATGCGAGCGGGCAACACAGAACTGCTTTAACATCACTCCCCCTCACTAAGCATTTCTACATGTATGGTGTGTTCACATGGGCCAGTGAATTAGACTAATCGTGAAAATTTTTATTAGCATGTCAGTGTTGTCTACCATCTTATAATGGAGGTATAATGGCAGTACTGATATTAGAAGAAGGCTGACAAGAGAGATCATTTTAGTTTAGTGGGAGAGAATTTTACACTACAATCTAAAACATCAAAGGAAACCTTCCTCCCCCTCGAGAGTGTAAGTTTTATTAAAATCTAAGTGCTTTTTTCTGAGGCTTTTCCACTCAAAATATAGAAATAAAACTAGGTGAATTATTTTTTATTTATTTTTTTTTTTACAACTAATGGTTACATTTTAGATTATAAAAAGGTCAGTTTACAGCAAATTAAATGGTTGTCTGTTATCCAGAAGGGCAGTTTAGCATTTGTTTGCTTTTGCAAAACATTACATGTATGAAAATTCAACAATGCCTCTTTCCAGACATAATAACACAGTTGCACAGAAAAATTTATTTATTTATTTATTTGATTGGGACAGTACATGTTAATGAACAAACATGGAATACATGTATGTAAACATGTCGGATTGTAGTTACAAGCTAATTTCCATCCGTAGTCCCACACATCCGCAAATCCGCATACCTTTAAATGTGTACTCTATTTTCGACCACTCACCAACCGAATCCGTAACAGATTATATTGTTGAGTTGACCTACATACTGGGTAGCATGCGTTTTGAACATGGCAGGAAATATTTGGTATCAGAAATTCTGCTGTTGGCATCTGCCTTTAAGCCTCTACCCCTCGCTCCGCTAACAGCTAGTTCCTCTCTCCTCCAGCCACCAAGTGCATGTGAAGGAGGAGCCCACTGAGGTGGAGGAGGACAGTCGGCCAGTATCCCTCCTGGCCGGTGTCACACACAGCCTGCCATTGCCAAGCGATGAGCGCGACCTGGAGGAGGACCTTCCCACAGAGGAGCTGGAGTAGGACAGATCCACGATGGACCAGAGGGACGAGACATAGCGAGATCAATCCCTGAGCCCTCTCGTCAGTGTGAAGAGGAAAAGACAGCTACAGTACACTTAAGAGAAAACAGAGAAAAAAGAGAATTTTTTTTTTAAGAAAATGCAAGCAACCATGGACAACATTGAGAAACTCCAAACAGGGTTAGATGACCTCCGTTACTTTCAGACGCAAAAACAAGACTGTGGAGCACTGCTTTACCTCCTTGTGTTTCTTTTCCAACACTTGGCTCAGAGGTGTAACACCACTCAATGCATACACTCTCACACAAAACACACAGACACACACTCATTCACTTGTCAAACCACGTCTCATAATCCTCCCTGGTCAAATCAGCTTCTGTGCATAGACCCCAGAGGTTTGGACACACGCTCTCCTCCTCGCCCCACCACTCTCGGTGTTGTCTCGGGCTCCCTGGCTAGCTGTGTTTATCTCCACGTCAGTTGAGAAGACACACAGGTGCATGCGTGTTAGAAAGAGGAAGACACACACACACTCACAGGATCATGTGTATATAGATCTGGATCAGTCACCAAGGGTGAAGAAGGAGTGTACCTCTCCGTCTTCCCCCTCTTTGAGTCAGTCACTTGGTTTTTCATTTTCATTGATTCGTTTGAAATTAAACTGTTGGGCTTCAAGATGGGAAGGAAGGAAGAGTGTTTTCAAATATTACCTCCAAAAGTGCTCCAACACTTGGCTCCTGTCTCCAAGTCTGTGTGTGAGCCCACAGAGAGGCTGACCCGGGAGAGGAGGCGTGGCCCAGGTCCCTGTCCAAACTTCTGCCCCCGGCAAGACACTTAGTGACGGACATCTTTTAAACTCTTTGCTTCTAAGTGAGATAAAAAAGAAGACATTCCCCTACCCCACCTCTATCCCTTCCCATCCCTACCGAAAAGACTGCAGGAATAGGACCATTTGGTGCTCTCCTTCTCCTCTCCTCCGTCTGCGGATGGAGTGATGAGCTTCGAACACTTTGAGAACGAGAAGAAAAGGGGGGAAGCAGAGAGAAGTGAGGGAGGAAGCGTCTACAAAAATATTGTGACTAAAAAAAGAAAACTGTTGATGATTATGGAACATAACAAGAAAAAAAAACGTGTGGTAGCTTTTGTCATTTCCTTTTTTTATTTGATGTTATTATCATTGTTTTTTTTTTGAGGATCAATATTTCCACGGTGGCGTTCTGTTTCGACGTACCTTTTCTAAGGATGCTGTTTTTGTTTTTGTATTGTAATTTGTTTGATTTACTCTGGCTGTTCACACCATTCCAAATGAGTATTGGCACAAAAAAAGAAAGCGCAGTATTGTCCCAACTTGTGATACCCGACCCCCACTCCTGCCCCTCTCCCTTTCTGTCCCAAGTGTAGCAGGCAAGAAATTTGGAAATAGCACTTAAAGTTGCCATTATCCAGACAGATTATTTAACAGCTGACCTTTTTTTAAAATTCTCTCTCATTCACTCGTTTTTGGTTGTGTATTTAGTTGAGAAATATCAGTAATGCTTTAAAAAAAAAAATATATATATATATATTATTACTGCAGTCAGAGAATACCTCATCCCACAAAGGTTCTGCCTGGAACTGTGTCCAAATTGATAAACAAATAAGGGGGAATTCTTTCTGTGGGACACCAAAATGCGGCAACTCTGCTCAGCTTCGATTCAAAGCTCTATGGTTGTAATAGTTACTGTGTAGAAGCTATCTGCAATTCACTGTGTGAGTTTGTGTAAAAGGAATAGCATGTGAGATTTATTTTTTTGTTTGTTTTCCATGAGCATAAAAGCATTACTTTTCTCTTCAGTGCCATACCAAATTTAACTTTTATTTTAATCTAATATCTGCTTATTCCCATTTTATTTTTGTTACAGGTAACCAAAGAAATATGTAGAAAACCAAAAACCCTGTAGTTTATTTTGCCCTTTTTGAGTTTCTATTTTTTTTCCTTCTTAAAGAATTGGCCAAAAGACAACAAACCAGGAGTTTGAATTCTTATTATTGTATTCATATAACTATTTTGTTGAAATTATACATGACTTACAGTGCTGACCAGTCCAAAAACCAAAGTGTGTAAAGCAAACTAGAATTCGGAGACATCAAAGCTTTTACATGATAAGCGGTTACGAATGACTCACATTAGGTATAAGGCCAAAAACTAGTATTAACAAACCTCGCACAGTTCCTCTGAAAAACAAAAAGAAAACAAGCACTTAGAGGTGAAACCTGTCTCTCCTACGCTCAGGCTAAACTGTTCCAAACACAATCCTAGGACTGGCCCTACTACTGTACTGCACTCGTGAGGCATCTGAACACAGCACATATTGTATGTACCTTTACCACCTGAGATGCCAACAGAAAGAGAGGTTAAATACAGAATGAAAATATTTGGCTCTGTCAAGTCAACCTGGCTTTACAGGATACTTTATCTGGTGCTGCCGTAACGAACATTTGGAGTTTTTTCTAGTAAACAAACATACCCTCTTCATCTGTATGTAGTATTGGCAGGAATAGGAGATAGGTACTGTAATGTGGTTACAAAAGTCACATCTTGGGAACAACTAAAAGTAATTTTAAAAATATACCAATGTAAGAGGAAAATAACCAAGGGACACCATGTAATCAAAAGTTGGGTTCATATTTTCATACTTTCTCTCAAACTATCTCTTGCACTTCAGACAATTTTTCTTATTTAATGAAAGAACCTTTCTGATGACTTTGCATTCAAAAAGGACTGTTTCCTGATTTCTAACAAAGTACAAAGTGACAGACAGGCATCTTGAAACAAGAAAAAAACCAAAAATAACACTACCTCCTTTTCAAAACGGTTCAACACATAGCCAATGGGAGACTGAACTCTCTTAAATATTTTTTTTCCATTCTTCCTGGATGATAATAATAATAATAATGAATGCCAAAATTGTTGTTACACCTACTGTATGACTTATGACACGCATAAAAAAAAAGAAGGTATTTGGCGATCCGGACTCTCTCTGCTTGAGCCCAAAAACATTGAGACGTTTCACTTTCCATGGAAATTAAAAATTACTACCTCTCCGTAAACCACATCTAAAGCACTCTCTACGTCTCAAAGTGTGTTGTGAAGTGCTCACTATATATGAAAAGTTCAGCTGTTTCAAACTGACCTTACACCAGATTAGCACTGAGCTATGTGAACAGCCTCTCAACAGTGTGTTTTGAGTGTATGTGTGCATATTCATGATTTTAGCCAATGAGAAACTGGTCGTTAATGGCTATGCGATGTTGCAAGGAGCTGGTTGTCAGGTGTAATGATGGGCAGAATATATCAGTGCTACCACACACACACACACACAAAGGGGTATAGTGTAACATAAGCATAGAAGCAGGGCTATGGGTTAGTGCAACAGAGGCTCTGACCATCCAGATATCCAAAGACCCACAACACAGCAGCACCTGCTTCACCAAAACACTCACAGAGACGCTGAGAGGACTAACACACACTTAATGAAACTCATCTACTAGTAATATCCAAGAGGAACTGCTGCATACAGTACATAGATGATCTCTGACTTGTGCTTTAAGGTACACCTGTAAACAAAGCTGTTTTATAAAGATGTAGATTGTTCACAGGTCGCCATGTAACACTTCTGTTCTTTCTCCAGCTTGGCATAACATGATGTATTCTTGTATATTAATGCTTGACTTATCTCTCCAGGGCATTCTTTCACATTTTGTCCTTTGATTTTCTCTTCTTTTTGTTTTCTTTTTTTTTCTGCACCTGTTTAGCTATTGTAAAGCTTTCAGCTCTGATTCTATACTGTACTGCTAATGCTGAAGTATATGTATTTATCATATTAAGTGCTGCAGGTATCTTGGTTTATTAGATTTGTTTTTGTTTCTGTTTGATTCCACTTTTTCAGTTCTTCATAAAACGTCTGGGACGCTGATTTTTTAAGTGTATTATCTCTAAAAAAAATGAAAAGAATAAAAGTTAGATCAGTGGTTTAGGTAACACCTGTTTGTATATTTATCTTAGCTAGGTCTATTTTGATACTTTTTTGTCTCTGTACTGCATTTATGCATTTTTAAGGAAAGAAAAAACACAAATGGAAAACAAACTAAAAAGTTACTTCATTATGTATTGATACCTCAGAAGGACTTTTTCTCAAAGACAGGACCAAAACCTTGGAAAAGAAAAAGAGAAAAAAATGTAAGAATATGTAGCCCCTCTCTTGCTTTAAAAAATGCGGAGCTCTAGAAAGGTATTGCTGTTGGTCCTCTCAGGTGCCAATATGTGTCCCAGCTCCCTGTGACCCCTCCCCCTGACCCCTGACCCCACATTCCTGTGCTGAACCCCGACACGCAGAGCTGTCAATCATCTGCAGGCGCCATGGGGGTGTGACTGAGTCACATACCTGACTGGGGGTGACCAGTCACAAACCTCATCTCTCAGTCCCACAGAGGCAGATCAAAGACTGACACTGTTGCATTTTTGATACTCCTTCTCTTGCGTAGTCTCAATACCAAAATGTGGAGTGACTCTCAGAGATGCAGCTCATCCTTTGACTACCAAAGGCATTGTAAGCAACCATTTGCTTAGTCCAAACTCCTGAACTCTAACCAAACTGTAACCAAACCAATGCCACAACCTTAACCAAACAAAAACCAAGCTACTTCCAAAACTCTCCATCGACTTCACTGATCACCTTTACTGATAGCTGTTATCTCTCGTACATCCACGTAATGGTGTTGTAGGACCAGCCTGCAGCCTATTGGCTGGTGACTGACTCAGAGGACACAGGGAGCCCAAATCCTGATGTGTGATTGGACAGTTCTGAGGTGTCATGTGAGGGGGAAGGGACTCTCAAAGTGGAGCTTTGCCTGACGGTATTATCAAGTAGACAGCCAGAATCCGATGGAACTACCACTTCAGCTCTCCTCGGGTTAAACCTTAGGAATGTGTGTACATTTTCAGCAGTGACTCTCTGAATTGTTTCTTAGTTTCAGTTTACCTGTTTACCTCTCTTTATCCTTTGGTTTTTGTTCCGTTTCTTGTTATTTGAAAGTGTGACCCGAGGAAGAGGCGGGGACAGGGACTGGGTGGAGGCTTTAGACAGACAGTGGAGCCCAGCCCTCTGACCCTCCACCCCGGGTAGCCATGTAATGCCAGTCACTGCCCTTTCCTTCATGCTGTATAAAAACACACATATATCTGTGTATTTGTAACCTGAATCTTCTTGTGTCTGTCCATGCAGACAATAAAAAAAACTGTACAGTAGGTCTAGTTGCATGTAATCTGTACTAATTATTGACAATGGCATTATAAAATGCAATAAAATACTTATTACACTGTCCTACACTGCATCCTTGTTGTTTCTTCTCCAGAGATATATAGCAGTGGTTCCCAGTGTCTGAGACCTCCAACAGGGTTCCCAAGATAAATCTCTGAGGTCACTTTTCTCTTGTGGATTACTGGTTAATTATAACTCCTTAGACCACATGTTTTGAAATATTGTCTGCAAAGAAAACTTTACTCACAACGACCATAAAACTTCAACTAAAAGCCCGGACTTTTATTTTCTTCAATCACTGAACTCACCCTTCCTATATTTCAGACGGGCGTCTATATGAGACAGGCTTTTAATTTCTTTCCCACAAAACTCTTGCTCAGCAAAGATGGGCAATATGCTACCATCGAATTGTTTATTTAACCCAGTATGAATATTACTTGTACATAAATGTGGCTTTTTTCATCTCTCTTGTTTACAATGCAAATAAGTCTGAATTGTTTCCGTAAAATTAACAATTGAATTGTGAATTGTGATTTACTATGTGTAGCATTTCCATATTGACAATAGTTTAAACATTTATATTTGTATGTGCAACCTAAGCAGCTTAGAACTATAACAGGTGACTTGGTGGGCTTTAAAAGGTTTTATACATCCAAAGAACTTCTATTAAAACCAGATCAGGTGTCTATGTTTATTTGTCAAAAAATATAGGCCAGTAAAAGGGACAGGCGTCTAATTGGGACTAGGCTTTTAATTGAAGTTTTACGATACTACTCATAATGATAATGCTGTCATAAGGTATGATGAGGAGCTGCAAACATTGCTTCATTTTAAGGGGTCATAAGACAAAAAGGATTATGATTAAAAAAAATCCCTTGAAAGCAGTTACTACTGTTAAATACTGTCTTTTATGTTATTGTGTGTAAAAAAAAGTCCAAACCTGTAAGTGAAGCTCGTTGTAAAATATATACATGGGTTGGATATAATAACACCTGTAAAGCATAATGAAATTCACTAAAGTAGTGCAACACTACTACATTAAAGCTTCAGTTTTGTTAAAACTGTGTCAGAGGTGTTGATTCAACCCTGTTGTGATTTTTGAACTTGTGGTCAGACTTGTATGTTTGAATTTCATTATATTTTACATTACTGTACCCACTTCCCTGCAACTAAACCAGATGAGACTGTCACACACAAACACACTGAAGCGGCAGCGCTATACTTGTAGAAAATAAACTGTGTCAGATGCAACTACTCTACAATCACAGGTACCCAAAGGTAATTTAATCAAATCTACAATTTTCACTGTGACCTTTGCCAGGCTACTTTTCATATAAACGCGTCGTACTGTATAGGTAAAATGACTCTAATGAAAATTACTGGTGCTGTACCAAAGGTCCATGTTAACATTAGGTTTACCAGAAACATATTTAATACTAGCCTAAAACTAATATTTTGACACCTCAGAATCAATAAACTGGTCATTTATCATGTCCTGAAAAGGCTCATTTTCTTGTTAAACCTCTTTAAAGTGTTATATCTGCAGTTTAAAAAATTACAACCACTGCCCCAAATTGTTTGGTGGTGGAGGGCTCATAATGCAATTGTCTTGAGGAAAGTTGATACCTGATCATTTGTAATTTTACTTTTTATACAGAAAATACGCTTGTATGCTTGTTGTTAATGGTCTTCATATAGAAAATCCTAAAGCCTTTACAGAATGCATCAAATTATTCCTATGATACCACTGCAGTGTAGTAGTTAGTCACGTGTCAACCTCATTAGATGACAACCTGCTGCTCAAACTTTTCCTTGAGCTATAAGTTCAGCCCTTGTCAGACCTGCAGGCCTTCAGAGAGGTCAGCTTGTGTTGTGATACAAAGAGTGGCCACCAGGAGGAGTAAACAAACCGGACAACACAAGCAGCATCTCATAAACCTTAACCCAGCAACAAACATCTCTGTGGTCCACTGACATGGTCCGACCAATAGGGTGGGCCAGAGAGTGCAGAACAGACAAGAGCACTGAATGAACTACCTGTAGTGTGTGTGTTGTGTGTGACGTATGTGGTAGAAACTACTTTTTGTGACCAATGTGTACTTTTTGTTCACTCGCCTTCTCCATTTTCCCTTCTTCTTCCTTACCTGTGTCTCTCTCTCTCCCTCGCAGGCTTGGCACATGCCCTACAGCTTATCTTTAAACTCCAGCGCTCCATCATGGATGTGTTGCCACGGGGAGAAAAAATGGAAACTGGCTGGGTGTTTTTTTGGAAAGTTGAAACTTTGTTTCATCTTGTGCTTTTAGTGAACTTCTCCGTTAGTCAGCTGGGAGGAAACTCACACTTGACGCTTAAATCCCTGTGACATCTGGTTTTGGGAGAGACCCCGTCCTAAGCCTATTACAGATACACATGCACACATACACACACATGCACAAACACACTAACTGGCATGAACACATTATGAATACTAAGCAGAAACCTAGTGCTATATACTTGTACAAGGTGAGCCAGGGTGCAGTGCAGCACACAAAGAGGTTATTCTTGGCGTGACATATTAGTGTTTGGCAAACCTGAGTCTGAAGCACTGAATATATTTCTTAATGCTCATCTGGACAGAGTAAGCAGTAGCTGTGTGGACACGAGTGTATTTGCAAACCTGTTTGTGTGTCGGAGAAGGACTTTCACACACGCCGATGCATCTGTTTGCTTGTCCCTGTGTATGAACTCGCAATGCTAAATCAATATGCATGTGTGTGATTGGGTATGTGGGTGGGTGTGGAGGCCTTCTAGTCCCAGCAGAATGGAGAGCACTGAGGTCCAGGCAGACCCTGTGAGTCACAAAATAAATTTACTGAGAGCCATGCTAACATCTCTCTCCATCATCCTCCCTCGCTCTTCATCCTCTCCATGTCTGTGGCTGAAGGAGTGAGCTGTCCTCCAAACAGCATATTGACTCACTAAAAACAACACAACATACACACAGTATGCGTTCACATGGCTCTGCATATTAAGTCTAATGAACTGAGACTTTCTCTTTCTCTTGTGAAAACATTTCATTTTTTATTTATTCTATAGACTGACAACATGAAAAGTGGCTTAATTAGATCCCTTTTAGACCTCTCTAGGGTCTGATTGCCTCAAGTAATGTGTCATGTTCTGTACGGTTCAAAATCCTGTTTATAACTTCTAAAATAAGGAAAAGTCAGGAAAAACCAATGTAATAAAACTGTATATTTATTGAGTTTTTTAAATAGGGCCCGGGGTCTCTTGGACCCCAAAAAGAGCATAAGGGTTAGTTGTTTAGCTTTATATATATATAATATATATATATATATATATATGTCAGAAAAAAATGAAATGAAAAAATGTCCATCATAATTTCTCAGAGCCTCAGAGCCCTTCATGTTTGTGAATATAGTGCAGCATCTAAACATATTCAAATCTCTAATAATATAAAATACAGAAAAGCAGCAAATTATCACATTTGAGAAGCTAGAAACAGCCAGTGTTTGACATTTTTGCTCAACAAAATGTTTTAAATGACTAATCGATTATCAAACGTGTTGCAGTTTGATTAATCGATTAATCGCCTAATTGTTTACAACACTAATTGTATCAATGCATTGTGTCTAAATAGGGCTAATTCATTGGCTTTGATGTGTGAAAATAAATAATGACTGAATCAGTCATCAATTGTCAATATACTTTGAATCAATCTAATATACTCCATAAAAAAACACTTTTCCTTCCCAAAATACAGCCAAGTAGTTTCTGGGGGGTCAACATCCAACATGCATTTCACAAACAGACAGCCAGGGAGAGCAAGGGAAAAGGTACACATCACAATACTGAGTTAATGGTATATTACAGTGTGCACAAACTGCACACCTTGCACAAATGCTGGGTCATTGTCCTGGTTTTTAAATAATTAGCCAGAGAAGTCATGAGCCTGATGAAAAAGTGGATGAAACTGCAGGACTCCATGTGTGGCAGAGAGAGAGTGAGAGAGAGAGAGAGAGAGAGAGAGAGGCCCAGCTACAGAACAAAAGCATCTTTGTGAGTGATTGGGACCACATTTTCACCCTCTCTCTCTCTCTCTCTCTCAAGAGAGAGTCAAGTCAATCTCCTCCCAGTCACACCACATTGTTCAAAACCACTGAAACAATCAATGTCAAAAGTTTATGATAATACTCAGAGAGGGTTTCAGCAGATACTCTCTGTATGCATGTAAACACACACCTACACACACACATACACATACACACACCGTACTCACATACAATCTCTCTGTCTCCCTCCCTCTCTCTCTCTCTCTCTCTCTCTGCCTCTGTCTGGACTCTCTCTCAATCTCTACATTTCCTCTCTGTCTGCCCCTCCCACCCTGCCTGTCTGCTGATCTGATGCTGGGCAGGGTCTGGATGTGGCATCTCATGCAGTCTGGTCCTAGAGCAGTAGAGCAGCTCTCACCTCAGTCCTCCAGCGCTGGCAACCTGCTCTTTCTCTGCTGGATCTCAGTGGACTGGAAAGCCTCTAAAGCCTCAGAGGCCTAAGCAAAACAAAGAACAGGTCTACGTGCGAATCGAGAATTGCTTTCAACATAGTGAACCATGGTATGATTGTGGGGATGACTTGACCTTGGTATAGTATGTAGCAGAGCTTATAACTTGTGTTTATGCATTGGTACTTAAATTCTGACAGAGTTGTGACTCAGTTGCTAAGCAGTTACATAAAAGGGAGTGCTTTATTGTAATACAAGGTGGTGGCACTTACACAATATTCGCAACTACTTTATATTGGCTAAGTATCACACCAAAAAAGAAACAGAGGCGTGGGTTTAGATTTTTTACCATAACAGTAGTAGTGTATTGCTGCAAGAACTCACGGTCACAGTGAGAGACATTAAATTGCATTATTTTTTAATATAATTCCAGCTTTCTTGCTAAGAATTAGATAAGAAGATCGATACCACTGTCATGTCTCGTAATTATGTAGCTCTGGAGCCAACAGCCGGTTAGTTTAGCTTAGCATAAAGACGAGAGCGAAAAAGCTAGCCTGGCTATGT